AGGATCCCAAAGCAAATGCTAATAAACATGAATACAATTTCCCAAACAGACTCACAGCATATATATAAATATATATGTATATATATTGCAATATAACCAATCATCACAACTGTACTGAGTTACAATTGTAATGAGTTATTATCCCATGTTTATGTGTGTGCACGAGTGTGTGCCGGTGCACACGCATACACACACACACACACACACACACACTGTGTGAGTGCAGGTACCCTAGGAGGGCAGAGGCAGTAGATTCCCCTAGAGTGACTGGTGGTTGCAAACTGCCCAAAGAAGTGCTGGACACTGAACTCAGGCCCTCTCTGCAAGAGCAGTATTGCTCTCTCAATCACTGAGCTTTCTCTCCAGCCCCACACTATATTTCTTAATATGTGGATTACAAAAAAGATTTTAAAATTCCCAAGAATACAGAGAAAAAGCAAGCCTTAGACACTGTTGGTAAGGCTGAAAACATACGGTCATGAGAGAAAATAGTATAAAGTTTCCTCAAAATTTAAAGAATTACCATATAACCCAGCAATCAATTCCATTTCTGTATACATGGCCAAAGAAATGCACCTGTACTCTCATGTTTATTGTAGCATTATTTATGACAGCTAAGAGGTGGAAACACCGTAAGTGTCCATTAGCGGCTAAGCAGATAAGGAATTGTGACATATACACATGGGATGTTACTCAGCAGAAGGAATCCTGACATCTTTAACAATATACATGAACCAGGAGTCCATTATACTAACTAAAATAATCAAAATGCAAACAGAAAAACATTACAGGCCCAGAAGGACAAATGTCACATTCTCTCTCATGTGGATCACAGCTTTGAAATTTTAGATTTATATGTTTACTTGGAATGTTTAAAGCAAGCAGGAAACTATAAAGGGGCTAGCGTATGTTAAATCAGGGGGGAATTCTGGAGGTAGTAAGGTATAAATGGTAGGGGGCATAGGCAGATGATGGGAGTAGTAGGGAATCCTACTACTCTATAAGTTCATTTAAAAATACAGTTTTTTGTTTGTTTTTAAGTTTGAGCAGAAATACCCTGCATGGGTAGATAATGTCACTCCAAGAAGACATGGGTGATCAAATGAAAGTCCCAGAGCCAGGGGTGGGATGCCTTTCTAAAGGAGTTGTTGGTCAGGACCTCTCAACATATAGGCTATCGCCACTGCTCTCCATCATTTACCGTAATTAGGTGGTAAGCCCCTGCAGCAAAGACAACACCTGGGACTAAACTGGAGGCTTCCTTCCTGCTGACTGGCTTTCTTAGTGCTCTGTAGGCAGCTGGGGAGGAAACATCACCGCTGATCTTACCCAGGGGTGAGCTGTGCATACCAGGCAAGACCTTGCTTGTGTTCACTGGTATGACAGTGGAATGACTCTGCTTGGTTTTTGGACCTACTCCTTAGGAGAGAATTCATTCCTGGCACTGCAACCTTGATCAAAAACTGGAGACATCATAAGCTGTAGGGAGGGAATTTACTACTGCTGCTTTGACAAATGGATGTGGTGTTAAACTGCCTTCTGTATTCATCAGGGTTCTCTAAGAGGAACAGAACTTACAGAATAAAATATGCCAGTTGGTAGTGGTGCCCACCTTATTCCCAGTACGAAGGAGGTAGAGGCAGGTGGAGCTGAATGCAATGACTGAATTACAGCATGGACTACAAAATGCGTTTTAGGACATCCAGGCCTACACAGAGAAGCCCTGCCTTGAAAAACCAAAAAATTAAAAACTATATAACACACGCACACAGACACAGACACAGACACACACACACACACACACACACACACACACACACACACACACATACACACAATCCTGAAGTAGGCTCCAATACCAGTGAAGGAATGGGACTTGCCAATGAGAGCAAGGAGGCAATGAGGGCAAGCCACCTTCTTCCATGTCCTTTATATGCGCTGGCAGCAGAAGGTGTGGTCCAGATTAAAGATTGATCTTCCCTATTCAAAAGATCTGCAATAAAGGTGTGTCTTTCCAACTCAAAGATCAAGATTAGAAGTGGGTCTTCTACCTTCAAATGACTTTTAAGTAAAAAAAAAAAAAAAAATCCGTCACAGGTGTGCCCAGCCATTTGGGTTTTAGTTATGTGGTCAAGTTGACACCCAAGAATAGCCATCACAGCTCTAAACATTTGTGTTTAGGAAAAGTGCTGGTCTCATCCTTGATCAGAGACTCCCTCCCATCCCCCACCCCCTGGAAAATGGCAGTCATAAGCAGAGGCTTATGGATGCTCGAGGTGGTGAGAAAAACTGTTGAGTGCTCAGCCCTAAATGAGACATCTCTGTACCACCCCTTCAAAGCTCAGAGAACATCACAGTAGTGGTGAGGAAGGAATGCAAGCATCAGATGACAGGGAGGAGGGACATGCTGTCTTCTGGGCATGACAACAGCCATTGCAATCATGAACTCAGGGAAGCTGTGGAGGCCTGCACTGGGCCTGTCAACATTCAGTCACAGGTGGAGAAGGGGCTTCTAGCCCCTATTCCTCCCTGAGGAACTACTGGCTGTCAACACATGCCAGGGAGGGGCCAGTTAATGTCTTCAGTGGCGTAGCCACTGGTGAGCTTCTCATGTTCCAGGAATAGCTCCACATCCATGCTCATACCACAGGCCATGGTGAGACTAAGTAGGTCACAAAACAAAAGAAAGCAGTATCAAAGTGGGAGGGGCTTCTAGGGAGGGATGGAGGGAGGATGTTGGATGTATGAGGTAGATAAGGCTGTCAGGAGTTGGCATAATCAGAATTATATACACACATACATACATACATACATACATACATATATATACATATATATATATACACACAAAGGATACTTTTAACAAAAAGGACAGATACACTAAAGGTGAGGCTTTAGGGCCACTAGCTGCTGGTGGTAGAGGGAGCACCAGCAAGAATCCCTAATCCTAGGTCCAGGATTAAGGGTACCAGTCCTATACAAGAACTCTAACACTAGAGGGCGCCATCTGCTCCTGCTGCTCCTATCTGTAAGCTGCTCCTGCTTGCTGCCATCCAACACTGGGTGACACAATGGAAGGGCTTTTTTATTTATGCAAGATTTGCATTCCCAAAGAAAAAAAACCCGGCCAGCAGTTGATTAGTTACTTTCTACACACACACAGTGTGCACACTCACACACATGCATGGAATATCTACCTATTATAAGATACTGCTGCGAGAAATTAAAGCAGCTATAAATAAATGGGAAGTTAAAACGTGCTCATAGGTTGGAAGACTCAACAGCAGCAAGTAAATTCTTCCCAAATTGATTTATAGATGCAAAGCCGCTCTAAACAAAACCTAGCAGGCTTCTGATAGGAAAGCTCATTCCAAAATTCACATGGAAATGCAAATAACAAAACGGTCAAAACAACTTTGAAAAAGATCACCGAAGAATTAAAAATATGATTGAAATTATGCATTACTGCAACCTGCATCAAATAATTGCAGGGCTAGAGCTCCTCTTACATTTCTCAGCAGGGGTTGTTTTGAATATGGTAAGCTTGGTTTCGTAACTTCAGTGAAAAAAACCACTCCATATATGATAGGAAAAAACCTCGACTAGATTTTAACAACCCCTGTAAAATGACAGATGAATAAAAAGCAAGCATGAGGTGGTGCCCTGCATCTGAGGAAATCACACTGCATTGATACCACCATTCAGCAAGACCCATGACTCCGACAGGGAGAACCAACCAGGCATCTCTCAGAAGCAAGGCTGCCAGCTAGAGTAGTCTTCATAGCAGCTACAGAAGCCTAATCTCACGCCAATAGATGCTAGCCCTTAGGGTAGCAGGTAGAGCTACACATGCTGTGACTTTTAAAGGCACAAAGAATTCAAAGCTACCTTTGCATATCTCCTCACATTCACTGATGACACTGATTTCATAAGTGGAAAAAATAAACCATCCTAACAAACACATGTGGTATCCTGCCATTGTATTATAACAGAAACAGAACTTAGAAGGGAGTATGTAGAAGTTAAGGTCTTTAAATACACTTGGCCTGTAAGCTTATTATGTTTCTCCTCATTAGAGTGATACTACACAGTGACCGATTTTGCCTATGCTGTGTGCTCTGACATTCCAAGCCTCCTCCAAGAACAAAAAAGTAAACTGCAGAATAAATATTTGTTAAATGAATAAATTATACCCATGTAAATATTTGTTACATGAACTTATGACATCTATATATATATATATACTATGCTCAGGAAATAATGTAATAATATCATATAACCTTCTCTTTCTAAAACAATTTGTTTGATCAGATTAAGAGTTAATTATCTTTTCTTTATTCATACTGTTCATACTAAACAGAACCTGAACTTCCCAGCAAAGTGATAAGTGATTGGATGATTCCCTCCCTCTCTTGGCTCTTACTGGTCTCTAACTCTCTATGTAGACTGGACTCAGGCTGCCTTCCAAGCTACAGTAATTCCCCTGCCTCTGCCTCCTGAACACAGGACTTACATGCATGTGGTACTACACAGCCTGTTTATGTCCTTTTTCTACAATTTCCTAAAATGCACACATACTCAGAATAGAAAGGACACATGCTTCTTTAGAAAGCCAGTATCCTGTAAATTAGAGCATGCTTTGTTTTCTTTTCAATGTTTGACTCTCTTTTTTTTTTTCCCTACCTGGAAAAGCACCTGCAGTATTCTCTACAAACTAACCCGTCTTCAATCAATCTTTTCAATTAAGAATCATTTATTATACTGGTTATCGAAATCCTTTGACCTAGTTTGATCACTAGACCTAAAACTCTTTCAAAGCAGGAAAAAAAACCAGTATGTTTCTGAATTCCCTGCTGTTAAAACATGTTAGAAAATACTTAGTTGACTGAACTTAATGAATTTTAGTAAGACTGAAGAAGCTTGAAGGTAGGAAAACATGACATAAAGCTACAAACAAGAAGAAAAAAGTGCAGACTGGACTATAAAGCAATACAACCTACCAGTAGTGTCTGTCCCTGGGAAATGAAGAAGTGACCTGATACAACGATGGTGAGAACGAGAGACCCAGTTTCTTCACTGGATTCAAAAACCTTGAAGAGAGAGAAATGTGAAAAGTATTTCTACGATACACATAAGAACAATTCTGAAAACAGACTGCTTCCTCACATTGATGCTCCCCTCCAAACCCTCTTTTTCATCTATGATGTAACTGGTTCTCTTATATGTGTGTGTGTGTGTGTGTGCGCGTGCGTGTGTGTGTGTGTGCTGTGTTGCTAAAAAACAAAATTAAGAACCAGTATTCCAAAACACAAAGACCAGATTATTAAGAAAGACAGGTCCTGAGCTATCTCTTTTCAGCTGTATTTTAGTAAATCATCTCTTCTCAGGCTCTAAATCTCCTTCCTACAAAATGAAGATGACTCTTTCCAGAGTCTATGAGACCTCAGAGCAGCAGTGTCCTCAGCCAAGTCATGAACCTTCACCACACAGTAAACCCACTGCCTTCCTTCTCCTGACCTCTGTCAGTGCCACTTAAAGCAGGGGCCACGGGCACAGCCACCACACCCTGTGGGTATGACCTAATGACCCCTTGGGGCCTACAGCAGTTCACCTACATTAACCTTCTCAGGGGCAGGCTCACTGAAGAGTCTGATCTGAAATCACCACCTCATGTTGGTATATCTTATTCTCTTTCTTCATCTTGAACCAAAATAAAAGGCCTTGGATTTATCTCTGCTGTAGATTATTTTGTTACATTCACCTGGTATACCTTTCTAGACTGAGTTAAGGAGAGAAAACTGAGGCACTTAACCAAGATGGCAGGGAAGACATGACCAAACACATCTAAGAGATAGAATTGAATGGGTCTTGAGGGACTGGATGATTAAAACCGAACAAATAACAAATAACACTGTCAACAACCTTGTATGGCAAACTTTAAAGTATGAATAATTAACATACAAATAACTCTAGCTAGGAATATTTCTATAAGGGTCTGCACTCTGTACTTTACAGTTTCTTATGTGGGTTTCAGAATTGTAGTTCTATAATTAAATTCACAATTTCCCAAGTTCTAATTAATTTTAAATCTCACACTTCAAAAGCAAACATTTCAAATATCAAGAGGGCTATTGTCAACCCTACCCACTCCCCTGGAGTTGGAGCTAGTCATACAGTCATTTGTCTGCCACCTGACATGGATGCTGGGATGTGGACTTGGGTCCTCTGGAATAGTAAGTGCTCTTAACCACTAAGCCATCTCTTGAGCCCCAGTTTATACAGTTTTTATGCTTGACTTCATCAATGTTGCTGCATGTGCACACAGGAACATGGGTGTTGAACAGACATGTACACACAATTTCATTACTGTAGAAGATCTCTCTACAACTATGCCATCTTTTTTGTTTTTATTTCTGTTAATGATTTTCCCCTGAGTGTAGTTTTTGTGAAAGTACAGTTATGAACATTATATTAGTTTATTGTTAGCTAGGAATGCTCATTTAATTTTTTTCTTTTTCCTTTTTAAATTTAAATTTGAAACAAGGGTGAGGCCTTCCATGGGGAGCCTTCAAAGTCTGTGATATTATTTGGGGCAGGGCCTAGGCCCTCCCAGATGTGTCTAGGTTGAGAAAGTATCCCTCTATGTGGGATGGACTCCCAAAGTCCATTCCTATAATAGGGATAAATACTGATCCATTGCTAGAGGCCCCATAGACTGCACAGTCCTCCTAACACCCAGATTCACAGGGTCTGGGCCAGTCCTATGCTGGTTTCCCAGCTATCTGACTGGGGTGCATAAGCTCCCCTTTGTTCAGGACAGCTGATTCTGTGGGTTTCTCTAGCCTGTTCATCACCCCTCCCTCTCTGTAACTGGATTCCAGGAGTTTGGCTAGTGTTTAGCTGTAGGTGTCTGCTTTTGCTTCCATCAGCTACTAGATGAAGGCTCTAGGATGGCATATAAGGTAGTCATCAATCTCATTATCGTGGAAGGGCATTAAAGGTAGCTTTTCCACTATTGCTTAGATTGTTAGTTGGGTTCATCCTTGTAGATCTCTGGGCATTTCATTTCCCTAGTGGCAGATTTCTCCTTAAATCTATTTTGGTACCTCTATTATGGTACCTCTTTTCTTGTTCTCCTTTATTCTTTATGCACATTCAAACAACAAGGACATCTATTCAACTATGTTCATAGCAGCATTATTTGTAATAGCCAGAATCTGGAAGCAACTTAGATGCCCCTCAACTAAAGAATAGATGGAGAAAATGTGGTACATTTACACAATGAAGTACTACTCAGTGGAAAAACACAATGGAATCCTGAAATTTGCAAATGGATGGAACTAGAAGAAACTATTCTGAATGAGGTAACTCAATCACAAAAAGACAAACATAGTATGTACTCATTCATATATGGATTTTAGACACAGAGCAAAGGATCACCAGCCTATAATTCACACTGCCAGAGAAGCTAGAAACAAGGAGGACCCTAAGAGATTCATAGATGGTCTCCTGGAGAAGGGGAAAGGGACAAGATCTCCCGAACAAATTGGGAGGGAGGGGAGAGGGAGTTAGGAGTTAGAGAAGTGGAGGAATGCTCATTTTAAAGATACTACTTCCTTCTAAACTACTTTTCAAGTGATGACTATGGACTTCTAGAAGAAATCTGTTTAGACTTCTCTTTCTTTCTCCAACTTATTGCCTACAACTGCCCAGGCAACATCTCTATACAAATGTGTCAGACCTCAAGTTTAACTGTCCAAAACTTGAGCTCCTTATCTTCCCCTACATTACACTGATGCACTCTGATTGTCACACTCTACCTACCTCATAAAACAAATAATACTCCAGTTCTTTAGGGAAAAAAAACACAGGACCACCCACCTCTCCTTTTGCAATATCCAAATCCAATCCATCAGTAAACCCTTCATTTCAAAACATACAGAAGCAGACAATTCCTCTCAGGTCTGGTTGTTTATTGTTATCACTGCCAGCTGAACTACCGTAACAACCTCCTGACTGCCTCCATTTCTGTTCTTGCTTCCTTCTCCAAAACAGTTTATTTCCATCCGATAAAGTAGCCAGAGTGAGCCTGCAAATAAAAATCTTGAATTTCTAGCTCAAAGCCCTTCAGTGACTCCCTGATTCCAAACCCTCAGTGCCTCTCCCCTCTTCTGTCTTCTCTCTCCACTCGGCTCCCTGTTGCTTCCTGAACCTGTTGGGCATGTTAGAATTATAACCCTCCGTGCTTTTGGTGCTGTGCTAGCTGGTGATCTCTCTCCGATTCCTGCACACTCTCTTCTCTACATCTGTGTCAGGGTTACCCTCTAGTCCATCCTCCTCCAGCTTAATTTTTCTCTATAGCTCTTATCACCTACCTTAAAAACAAAACAAAACAAAAAACCAACTACTCTATTGTTTCCTATTGTTAGTTGTCTACCCAAGCAAAGTTTAACCTCCAAGAAGACTGCTGTGGGCCACTGCTACACATACTATATATCCTAACATCTAGGACAGTGCCTGACACTTAAGACATATACATCACCCTTTTCACTGGATAAATGAGTCTGAAATTCCCAAAGAAGGCACCATATTAAAATACACCTTTTTCAAGGGGAACAAGATGTTTTCAGAAAGAATTCATCATTAGAACTGCACTAGGGGGAAAAAGTTAAAAGCCATCCTTCAGGCAGAACAATGAGATCAGATGAAAACAGATCGCTGTAAAGGAGTGCAGAATGCTGGAAACAGTCATCACCTGGATGGTTATATAGGACTTCCTTATTCACAAATCATTAAAAGCTGACATTATAAAGACTACTCAATCCAAACCAAGGAAGAATAGATAGAACAAAGACTGTGGGATGGCTCACTAGGTAAAGACACTTGCAGCTGAGATGGAACACAATGAAGGTCCAAGCCCAGAACCCATGGTGGAAAGGCCCAACGTGTCTGGCTTCCACACACACAGTGTGGCACAACCTTCCCAGTGCCTCCACTCCAAGAAGCACAGAAATAAATGTAATAAAAATAAAATTTAAATGTAAGCCAGAAGTAGTGGTGTATGTCTTTAATCCCAGCTCTTGGGAGGCAGAGGCAAGCAGTTCTCTAGGGGTCTGACGCCAGCCTAGACTATGCACTTAGTTTGGGTTAACCACACCTATACAGTGAGAACGTGTCTCCAAATAAATTCTTTTAAAAAAAATAAACAAAAATAAGAAATAGGGTGAGTCAAAAATAAATACACAACAAATAGCAAATGACAAACTTATCAATAACCACAATAAATGTAAGTGATCTAAACATGCCAATTAAAGACAGAAGGTTTAAAAACATTTTTTCATACAATATATGTTCTTTCTATTTATGTTCTTTTATTTATGTTCAATTTATGTTCTTTCTATCCTCTCTAAAAAACAAAACAAGAAACAAAACCAAGCAAAAGATCTTGCCTTAGTTAGGGATGCTATTGCTGTGATAAAACACCATAACCAAAAGCAACTTGAGGAGGAAAGGGTTCATTTGGCTTACACTTCCAAATCATTGTTCATCATCAAGGAAGTTAGTGCAGGAACCTGGAAGCAGGAGATTTTTGATGAAGAAGCCATGGAGGGGCATTGCTTACCAGCTGGCTTCCCATGGCTTTCTTAGCCTGCTTTTATTTATTTATTTATTTATTTATTTTATTCTCTCATACATTAAATCCCAATTGAAGTTTATCCTCTCTCCACTCCTCCCAGTGCTCTCCCTAACCTCCCCTCTTTCCAGATCCACCCCTGCTTCCCTTCAGAAACAAACAAAACAAAACAAACAAACAAAAAAAGAGCAGGTCTTCCAGTGGTATCATGGCATAACAAATTACAGTAAGACTAGGCGCAAACCCTCATATCAAGACTGACAATGCAACCCAGTAGGAGGAAAGGGTCTCAAGCACAGCCAAAAGAGTCAGAGACACTCCCCACTACTACTGCTAGGAGTCCCACAAGAACTCCAAGCTACACAACCATAACTTAGTATTATGTAGAGGACCTAGCTTAGACCCATACAGGGTCTGTGATAATCCCATCCATCTCTATGAGCTCCTATAAGCCCT